ATAAAAATATTTTTAAAAATTAAATAAAATGATGAATATAAAATGTCTGACAGTTTCCAGTACTAATCAGAGAATATGGGGAGATATTATTTTTCCACCCCTCATGCTCCACTATGCACCCTCTGCCTCTGATTGTTGGTCTTCATTCTTAATTCTGATCAAAAAGTATTTGTAATTTCATAAACACACTTCACAATTTCGTGATGACTTTCATGGAACGTACACAGCAAAGCCTTTTTTCCTCTTAATGGCTCCAAGAATAGATCAGATAGTCCATTGGTAAAAAGGATATACTTCAGAAAATCTTTCTAATTAACGAGGAATGATAGATTTTTTGAAATAATATGTAAAACTGTAGAAAGATAACATAAGTTACATTTTTAAAAAATAATGAGAGGAATAAATGATAAATATTCGAGGTGAAAGCCATGTTAATTAGCTTGATTCCACAATGGGAGCAAAATGTGGAATCATTCCACATTGTATAGATAGATCACAGCATCATTTTGTACACCATACATATATACAATTATAATCTGTCGATATCTGATACAAAAATAAAAAAGTAAAGCATTACTCCTATTCTAAAAAACAGGAATAAGAAATTTGTTAAATAAGTAGATTTTAGCTGCTCATGTCACAAAAAAGTGACTCATGATAGTAACCATTTTCCTGTCTATATGTATCCCATAACTTTATGTTTTTAACCTCAAATACACACAATTATATTTACCTAACAAAAGAAATTTAAGAAGCCTCAATCACAAAATTTTCTTGCCAGATGAATTCATCAGGGCAAGATCAAAAGGCCATATCAGATTTAATTTTGCTAGAACCTTGTCTTTTTCAGAAGTCCCATTTCCCTATGTTTCCTAGCTCCCGCATTACAAAAGTTAAGAGCAAGTAAATGTGCTGAAAAAAAGATCGATTTCAAAATGTATATCCTGATCTCTCTGCTTCAGGGTTGGTGTGATGTTGCTGTATGCATGGAGTCATGAAAGAGAGCAGGTGGGAAATGAATTAAAAGTTGGAAACATTATCTATTGTTAATCTTTTAAGATGTAAAAGAGGTATTGAATTCTTTTTCTCATATTTCTTTATTGAAGCATGATTAATTATATATATTATTGATGCACAGTATTGACTACCATCACCTACGTACATCATGTGATGATCCAATCAATATTATTAGCATATTCATTATTACAAATCATAGTTATACTCTGTGTCCCTTACCCAGTATCTTTCAATTTTTATTTCATATCTTTTTCATCTGTAATGCGAGATATTTATTCCTCGGTCTATTGGAAGCTCAGGGCAATTTCTACTGATTGAG